GAAATACTGATGAAAATATTGTTTTCACAGAAAAAAGGTTACCAAAAGTAAGGTCTAGGTCCATAGACTCAGACTATTATTCCTCTTATATACAGCGAAAAGCGAGTTACTAATGTGCCAATTTTTGCTTGAAATTTCTAGAATATGAGGACCAGTTACTGTTACTTATGAATCTAGTTTCTAAATTATAGAAATGACATATTAATAAGAAAATTATTGTCATATTTTGCTGTTTTGAGGCAAACAGAGATGGAGGTTTGTCAAATGAATCAGCAATATCGTCATTCTGTCCATTAATTCCAAATATCTCAGACTTTTGCTCAATCTGAACTTATCTTGAATTTAGGTCAACTGAAATCAACAAGTTACAATGCATGAAGGGGATCATAGAAATTGATTCTAAAATTGATAAACCTTTTTTATTCCTTTGAAAGAAATTTTATGTCCAAAGTAAGCTTTGCTACTACTTAACCTGAAAACAAAGGCGTTGAAATGTGATGACTTCATATTCCAGCACGCATATCTTTCCTGGACTTTCCACATGGTAAAAGAACATAAAAATCAAGATTTCTGAGACTTGATTAATCAAACAAAATAAGAGTATTTTTTATAAAGATAATAGCAATTTGCCGTATTTATGCAACGCATCTGTTATTGCATAAAATGCAAGGTAATGGTAACTGGTCCTCTTCCAGTATAGCATTACAACATTACATTGTAACACTTAGTTTAGACTCTTACACTTATCTAACTGATAATAATTCATCATTTTTTTTTTTAAATTTAAGAATCTGTGACCTCACTGTTCCTTGACTTTAATAGCATGTCTTAATGAACATATAGTTTGTTCTTATGTTGAGCTGTTACATCACTGTCCCAGTCTAGGGGGAGAGTTGAGCGCTCACAAACATGTTTAACCCCGCCACATTCTTTATATGCGTGTCGCAAGTCAGGAGCCTGTACATAGTTCAGTGGTTGTCATTGGTTCTTGTCTGTCATATTTGTTTTTTGTAAATTGTTTTGTTATGATTTATGCCGTTAGTTTTCTCAATTGAATTGTTTCATATTTTTCATGACCGGACCTTTTATAGCGGACTATACAGTATGGGTTTTTCTAGTTGTTGAAGGCTGTATGGTTGCCTATAATTGCTTACATCCACTTCATTTGAACTTTGGTGGATAGTAGTCTCATTGGCAATCATACCACATCTCCTTATTTTTATACTTTGACCAAGTTGATATTTAACGGAGTTTGTTGGAAAAGATTCAGTCTTATCTTTCTGTGAAGATTTTTTAAAAGTTTATAAAAGGAGAAAATAAGTGCCCTTGGGGCATATATTTCTAAAAAACAACAAAAATCAAAATTAATTAATTCTTTTAAAAATATGAAATAATAACACACCAGCTGTAAACAAAAATTTCATTAAAATTTGGCCTTACCAGGTTCTCCTATTTATCAGTTAGGGGAGCCATTTGTGCACATCAGAAGTTTATGTATTATTCAAGTTTCTAGCTTAAGTCAGATTCATTATTTTTTGTATGAGGAAAGTCAAACTTACTTGCATGAGTGAGAAACTTGTTTGGTAATTCAGCCAACATTATCGATTTTTTTAAAAAGGGAGTTAACTCTTCAAGTGTTGTCTATAGATTTCTTACTTGGACAAATTTATCAATGGTAAAGAGAGATAACTTCTGTTAATTTGATTCTTACTTCAACAAATAAGATTAATTTTTGTTTCAACAAGATTGATTCTGACTTGCATTAATGGATGTTTATTATATGTGTGTGCATTACTTGAAAGTTCTACAACAAACCAGACATGAATATGATGCAGTGAAACACACAATGTGAATGCACAGTGATCAATTAATTCTTCAGTAAAAACAATTGATTTCAAATGACAAAGTGGCTGGAGAAGATAACAATGTGAAAAGTCTTGTGTAGTACAGGTAGATAATGACAACAAGAACAGGTGCCAAGAGATAGAAATAATCTTCATCTAATCCTTATAAAGCTTAGTGAGCTTGGCAAAAATGCAAAAGACCCGCCTCAATTTCTTGGCAGAAAAAAGAAATTGGAATTCTATTTTCACACAGATATTATAAGTTAATTTTAGTTTTCTTGTTTTGAGTTTAAACTAATACAGATGTGGCATGCATTCCAAATTTCCTCATCTGGCTCACTGCTTTGAGAACTAGATTTTTTTTTTCCTTAGGAACCCTTCTCATCTAATTCCAAATTTAATAAATCTAGTTTTCTGAGACTTTTTCCTCCGCTTTACATCCCTACATTTAGAAAAATCAACAATCATTGAGAAGACATTAGTAGGAATATGGCTAAGCAAAAGCATTAATAATCGAATCCTACTTCTTTTTTACCTGATAATTATTTCTAAAATATCAAAATTGATTTAGATACCCTGAACACATTTTGACCAATTCATACATCTATCAGTCTTTAAACAATTGATACAAATGTTGTTTCAGCATACATGCATGTATCTCATAGTATTCTTAATGGTTTGTGAACTTTAGAAATTGTTTAGCCATCTTACCTTAACAGAATTAGAGTTAAAAAAATGTCTGAAAGTTTTTAACCTAGCCTTTTCTATGGTATTTCATTTACAAGGTAAATCTGTATTATATACAACTCCAGGAAGAAGACATTGTTGGTCTCTGAATACAGGCCATCATCGTTCAATGGAGATTCATACATTTTACTCCCGATAAAAGGAATCATTAATGAGGTTTTTTTTGTACATTTGCATATGTACTAATGTTAGTGAGTTACATTTAAAATGTTTTTGTGTTTTCATATAAATAAAAACACATTATCCTTTGGCATATTAGAAATAAACTAATTTTTTTCTAGCTTGTTTTTGTTTTATTTCCTTTTATAGGGAGAATTCCTCTCAAATTACTCCAAAACTTAGTGATGCATACAATTCTTCTTAATTCACTTATATTTTAAGGGGGCATTAGCTGTCAAATTCATGTTCACCGATTTGACTCAAATTTTCATATTTCATTAATATTATACTAAAAAGTATATCCAAATTACAATATGTCTGAAATAAACAATTAACAATGCATGGACTTGATAATATATATCAACATTTCGTGTGCATTTTAGTCTAGATGCCATCTTATTAACCATCGAGATGACCTCCGAAGACAGTCTACGGTCACATATCCCGATATAAACATAAAAATAAATATAAATAGATACCAACCTTGTGCAATTGGACTTTCCCGGGTCTGTTTGATTTCATGTTATAGGTTAAAAAATAAGTTAATCATCATTTTTACCTGTATAAGAATAATTTTTTGTGGATCGAATAAGTCAACGAAATGGTTCACCTTTGTTTCACTTTCAATGTTGACATTCTTTTCCTTTTAATGGCTGAACACGACTAACACATGCGTTACCAATCCCTAGTTAATGGGTTAAATTGAAGGTCACATGAATAAGGATTCAATGAGGTCGAATCATTCATGTGCAAGTGAATAATTCATCAGCAATGTTTCTTAGCTTATTTATTGAACTAAACTGGCTGCTAAAAGCGAAATTAATATTTCACTATTTCACTTTCATTAATGATTGAACAAAAAAAAATCATATTTTTTATATCTCGTAGCTAACACCCCTTTAATGATGCATGGTGAAGTTAGATAAATTATTAAAGATGTCTTTTCTATTAAAACACACATGTCTTGAAAAACATTAAAATGATCATGTCACAGTGTTCATGTTTGTCCTGTGAAAATTCAATCCGATGATCATATCTTAAATGTACAATGTTTAGAATGCTACTGTTAAAGTTGGCACAAAGATTATTACAGTATGTTTTTTAATTAGTTTTCAGTATACTGTAGAAAATACAGAAATTATTGCGAAGTTTTATTAATGTGAAAATGCTAGAGTATCAAGTTCGCCATTATAAAAACTTGCATTCATAATTTCAATAGAAAAATTTTTGCCAGTGTTCAATATTTTGCAATAATAAATAAATGTATTAATTTCTAAATTTACAGTATGTCTGTCCAGATAACCCACAAATGCATTACCGTAATCGGGCTTATATAGTTCGCACTGGTGTATTGTCCGCACCCCCTTCTCGCCACGAAATTTCAGGTAAAAAAACTTTTTGTAACTGTTAGAAAATGTCTAATGAAACTCCAGTAATTTCAATTCGTGTGTGGTCGTTTGTGGTATTTTCATGGAAAAACCTGTTTTCCATCATCAAATAGAAGTTGAAACTGCTTGTAAATGATTCTAGAATACCTCACGAGTGTTAAAATGTGTCAAAATCACACAAAAAACAATTTAGAAACTTGTGTATGTTTAAACCGGAAGTTCGAATAGCACGTGTAAAAGAAAATAAAGACAGTGAGAGTGTACGGAAAATCCGTACTTAATAGATATCACTAGAATACGACTTTGAAAGTATAACCGTTCCATCCTTGTGTAAAACAATGTTTAGTATATCTATCACATTAATGTTTGGAAGGATCTTAAGCTAAAACAAAACACATGCGTCAGTATGAAACACCAAAACGGAACGAATAATCGATTACGTTTTGTAGTTTATACATCATAAGCTGGTTCTCGGTTGACTTTTATGCTTTTTTCGTTCAGTTAAATTCAAGCAGATTCAAGTTTTCAGTGAAAAGAAACGAGAAATTTGTAGTGAAGCATTTAATTTTTTAATCTATCAGTATATATTTGATATTGAATAAAAATAACATATTACTATGGATTAGGTAAAATTATTAGTTTTGAAAATGATAAGAGCGCCCTCTACAATATCAATAACAAACATGGCGGAACGTAAACAAACCACCTCGTGAAATCGATTTTTTTTCTTATTACTTGCTTATCGTACTCTATAGTCCGCACCCTGTCTGGCAGGTTCAATTTTGGAGAATAATACCGCGGACTATACAAGCCTTTTAACGGTACATCACAATCTAACAACATAAAAAAAAATAACAATTACCTCTTCTCGTAAAAATTTCCACTTCTTAAGTCCAAGATCATACAAGCCTACTCCACCATCATGGAATGTACACAGGATTTGTGCCGGAGGAACAGCAAAATGTGCCTGATTCACCATGGCAGGAGAATCAGCGGCACTGGTAGATGACACATGTCCTTCTCTACTGTCTTTGGACTTCATTATTTTAGTTGTTATGGCTTGTAAAGCATGTATACCTGTCTTTTTTATTTTGATAGTTTCTATTGGTTTAGACATAGAAACATTCCAAATTCTTAATATTCCACTTCTTACATCTGTAAAATAGAAAAACTTAATCTTAAAAATTAAATATATACGAGATATTATTTTTCACATCTTCAAGATTGAGTAAATGATTTTTGTCACTTCTTTTTATAACACTTGGGTCTAAACTTTTCCTGACTTTTTTTTACCATATTTTCTTTTTTTAATGTCTTCTTTTTGTTTTTGGAGTGCATGTGTTTCTCATTGATATCTCAATAATCTACCTCAATATCTCCTTTTGCTCATATTGATATCTGGCAAATCCCATTTACCCTTTTCTAAACACTTTTATAAATATGCTATCTTCATTTTTACATCGGATGACGGTAAGGGCATTCCGGTGTATTGTATCCACAGACAGTTCTACCCACGTGACTTTCATTTTTGACTGATAACCGAACGCAAAATAACATTCCTTATCGCTTGTTATATATCAATTTCATCAATAAATATTCATGAAAATAATTTTTAAGAACATAGATAAATGATATGAAAATGTTTTGTCGTGAGAAATATATATATATATATATATATCAATAACAAATCAAGAATACCGAAAACTTGAGTTAACGCATGCAGAAGAATATCTCAAGAACGTTTTACAGGAAAATATGAATGCCTACTCAAATCCAAACTATTAGAAAAATCAAATTATTACAGAAGAGTGTCCACCATGCACTTCCACTGTATTATTATTAGAATAGTAGAATAGAATGATATACAAATGGATGAAAATTATGTATACATGTAACTGTTATATACAAATATTAATAGAATATATAACAACAAACCAGAGTATACTGATTTGTATCACTACAATATAATAGTTATTACGGTGAGGTTGAATTCCCTGTCATTTATTCATCATCCAAGCACTAACCTGTCTTTGAAAAAAATATATCTATGTACCTTAACCTCACTTTCAGGTATAGAGATGTGATTTTTTTTTCTGAGACAAGTGCTTGTGACCATCCACAAGAACTTGCGGTCATTCCATGTTCAGTACTTCAGTACTTTGATTCTGTAGTGTGATGTGTTATACAATACCTTTGCCTTAAAACATAAACCTACCACCCGTAACAAATATCCCAGGAGCGTTATTTATCCAGGACATAGCACTTATACTGGAAGCAGCACTAGGTGGGGTAAATTTCATAATTACTGACTGTGACTCCGTGTCAATCAATCGTACACCAGCTCGAACATTACACATTATTAAGTAGTCTGTAGATAGAGGGTCCCACTGTAGACTAGACACTGGGTCCTCCATCTCTGAATCATCTTCATCTTCAGGTCCTAATGTATTTTTGTAACTTTTACCACCTTCAAACAAGACAAACTGATAGACTTAGTAAAATAAAACTTCCTACAATTATCATCTGAATTCTATAATGGCAACTCTTGGTAATGTTTGCTAAGCATTTAAATATAATATGTAAAAAAGTTGATTATTAGATCTAACAAAAACTGTGCTTTTTATATACTTTATGGTTTTACTCTTTGCTCTATATTTTTCATTATTTTATCAACTATTTTCCACAAAACTGTAAGTTTCAAAGATTATAAAAAAAATCCTATTTTGATAAAGTTTACATTTTAAATACAGGTACTAACCTACATTACAAATAGATATAGCACCATTCTGATGACCAACAGCTAGCCGCCCTGTATTTTTTGGATGCCACCTCAACAATAAAATACTTGAAGGAAACCCTGAAGCTTCCCTACATGTCTTTATCATCAGTCCATCTTGGAATTTCCATATTTGAACAGGTCCTTTCCCACCAGCAAAAGACAATGTATCTAATTGGTCATAGCACCAACCAATGGCTTTAGGTGTGTCAGCTGTGTCCATTCTAGCAACCAATTTTTGATTGGCCACATTCCATATAATAACCTTTCTGTCAGCTCCTGCACTTGCTAAGAAATCAGGGTTCCTTGGGTTAAAGGCTATGGCTGTTATAGTTTTCTTGTGCTCTGACATGATGGAAACCAGTCTAAATTCTTGGAACTTTCGATCCAACTTAAACAAACAATTTGGATTATGAAAACTTGTGGCTAATAATTTTTTAGAATGATTGCAGTTCTTATGTATTGGCATTATTTAAATAATACATGAAGACATATAAACAGTTAAATACAAGTATAACATATATTATATCAAAATCCCTCTGGAAAAGTTGACCATACAGTAAAAATGTTCTGTAAGGTTCCTTTGATTTTGAACCCGTAAACATTTCATATATTAAGTTTTTCCCAAATTTTTTGACTGGATTGTATTTAATAAAGTTTATCTACAAATGTGTTGTGTGCAGAGAACTGACACATGAATGTTTTTTTCATTTTATCAAAAAGGTCTAGATCAGGCAAAATTGACCTAAGACAGTTTTGGGTGCATATTTATTGTATAATAAAGTATGACTTAATATAAACATTCCAAATAGTTTCCACTTTATAGTTTAATTTTTCTTGAATATGATTTTCAAAAAAACAGTACTACATGCTTTTAGTTATGTGTTACATTTTCTGGTAATCTTTAAGTATGTTATATAAAATGCAGAATTGTCCAAATTATAAGAAAAGTACAAAAATGTTGTAAATGATCACTAATGTCTGCTGTTTAAAATAAATCACATTTTTCTGTGCAAGATGTTATGAATAAATATTTTCAGAAAAGGTCAATCTTGGAACAAGTTTGTTCATTGATTACACAGGATATTTTAAAACAATCTCAAAAGACAAAGCAATATACGTATAAAATTAACTTCATATAAAAAGCAATACAGAAAGGTCTTTATAATAATAGCGCCAGGATGTAATCAACACAGGATCAATATATTTATCTATAAACATGAGATAAGTAGCAAAATACAATCTAACAGACAAATGTTAATATCATTATTTTGAAAATTGACATTCTACAAAATTTATTTTAAACAGATTTATAAATTGATTGAGTTTACTGTTTGCTTAACATCCAGTGGCAAATATTTCATGCATTTGCAGAATAAAACTGCATCCTTAATAGCATTCTTTAATTTACCTGATAAATATATACACAAAGTGTGGCACAGTACACAAATCTGTCCCCACTGGCGGCCACTACATCAACATTCCAGGGTTGACAGCCCGCTGGAAGTAATCCAACCTGCTTAGCCATTCTCCTCTTTTTCTGAAATAGTCAATCACTATAAATTGCTTAAAACTTATTAAAAACAATTTTGCCGAAAGCACCATATATTTAATATGAAGACATTTACATAAAGTTCTGATACTCACCAAATGATAGTTTCACCTCAGTTTTATGTATGGCAATGAAATCCCAAGAAATCACAATTGCTATAAACCACCTAAGGTACTTAATTAGGAAATGTATAGAGATACTGACTTGCATGTTTATTTCTCATCAATATAATCCAACAATATCTATTGTTGACCAAAAAATCAATCATACAATGACAACAAATTTCATTTTTATTATAAGGCCTTTCAATTAAAAAGGAATCAATCTAAATTTGAATGCTTTTAAAATGTCAAATAAAATGACTTAAGGTAAAGGTACATTTTTTGTAACACTAGTGTGAAGAAGAGACAGATATTTTAAATCTTACAGGCAAACAATAGTGTCTTGTATTAAAGGTGTTACCCCGTGTATGATCTTTTGCAGACTCTTATAATTTTAACAAATTTTTATGAATAATATACATTTCAGGACTGATGCCAGGATGTCTCTGAAGGGTTGGGGAGTATTTGGGTCATGACACTCTGACTTTAATATTCAAACTTCAAATTACATTTTCTCAAACATAAAGTATGATTTCTGATTTCACAGTGCTGAAAATATTTAATAAAAGACAAAATTTAAAAGTAGGCCAGAGGTGTCTGAAAAAAGAAATATTACAACATTATAGGTGATTGAGGCTTAAAGATAATAGGTATGTGCAAGGTTTAAAATGTAACATCAATAAACTATTATCAATATTCACAGGGATTTAACAGTTGAGATTAAGTAAAATTCAAGTTCTTCACAAAAATTGACAAAGTTGCCTGATTTGTTATTGGGAAATAGAGAACATATACAAGTAACAAAAAAATATTTACATGAAAGTTGTTGTTCATAAAGACAAACATTGAGTTAAATTATTTGATTGGAAATTACATGTGCTCTAAATTAAATTATTTGATTGGAAATTGCCTGTGCTCTTAATATGTGTGTCCAAAAACTGTCTGAAAAATGACGAAAATGTATGTATTACTTTTCACAATAACGTGTAGAAGGGTCTTTTCCACAACATCACTACCGCAATTATTGTGACATTATGAATCGAGAACTACTGATTTTTAATTTTGCATTTACCGCCACTTTAAAACAGCAATGCATAAAAATTCCAAATAAAGAGTTAAAATTTCAGTAAACAAGACTGCAAACACTGATATGTCTTGCCTGCTGTGCTAACCATGATTGATTATATGTTGATAGTCCTAAATATAAAGTTTTACTGCAAGTATCACATAAACTTAACATTAACAATCATCTGTGAAAATGAGGTCAATGTCAGATAAACCAAGCCTGACAGACATGTACACCTTACAATCATTTCATGTATCAAATATAGTTGACCTTATTTCTTATTATCTAAAACATGATCTTTAAATTGTGTATGCATTTAATGGGCATGAGGTAAAAGTGACTCATGTGTCTTTTAAGGCAGGAATCTAATTTATTTTATGTTGCTTTTATCTTATGTATAATCTTGATAATATAATAGATTGTGACACTGTAATAAACTATTTACTTACTTTTTTTTTTTACTCTAAGAAACAGACTTAACTAATGAACCATGAAAAAGAGGTCAAGGTCAGATGAACCCTGTCAGACAGATATATACACCTTACAATCATTCCATTCACCAAATATAGCTAACCAATTACTAATAGTATACCAAACCATGAAAACTTAAAACATGTATTCACCAATTAACCATGAAAATGAGGTCAAGGTCAGATGAACCCTGCCAGACAGACATGTACACCTTACAATCATTCCAAACACCAAATATAGTTGACATTTTGCCTAAAGTATACAAAAAACAGACCAAACCATGAAATCCAAACATTGCATGACCAATGGACCATGAAAATGAGGTCAAGGTCTGATAAGCCCCTCCAGACAGACATGTACATCTTACAATCATTCCATGCATGAAACAAAGTTGACATATTGCTTATAATATCTGAGAAACAGACTTAACCAGGACAATTTAACATTGACCAATGGACCATGAAAATGAGGTCATGGTGACAGGTCAGATGAACCCTGCCCTTCTACCAGACAGAAAGTACACCTTACAATCATTCCATTTACCAAATATACTTGACCTATTGCTTAAAGCATCGATCTTAGAAGAGGATCTAACTACTGAAACTTAACCATTTGTTAACATTGACACGTAAATGAACCATGAAAATGAAGTCAAGGACAGATGATGCTTGCCTGACAGACATATACATGTACACCTTAAAATCATTCCATACACCAAATATAGTTGACCTATTGCTTATAGTATAAGAAAAACACAAAAACATTAACCAAATAAAGTTGACCTACTGCTGAGAAACTGACCTAATCACGTAACTTTATACTTGATCACTGATCCATGAAAAGAGGTTGAGGTCAGTTGAAACCTGTCTGATGGACATGTAGATGCTAGGAACCCCTAACTTGAAGACCAGGATAGTGACTACATCCTCTCTCCAAAGTCACTGACCTCTTATGACAAAGAAAACACAACACTGAACCAGTTCTGGCAGTCTATGGCACAATGGTAGATTCCAAGTGGCCAGCCCAGTTTGATCTGCTCTTTCAAATCAGAAAAGTAATGCTAACCATTCCACATTCTAATGTAGACACAGAGAGGACCTTCAGCATGCTAAGAAAGATCCAGACAGACAGCAGAGACAACCTGCAGGACTTCAAGACAATACACAGCCTGATAAGCATCAAGATAAACAACTACACAGATTGTTACCTGTACAAGCCCATGTTATTGTTTGTTAATTTTTCATCTATTTATTATGTAATAAATGTATAGCATATTTCTCTCTTATATCTCTAAGCCAATGAAAATGAAAACAAATAAAAAAGATTGAAGCATGCATAAAACACTATGCTTTTATAATTTTCTCTTTGTATTCAAAGAAAAGGTTCAAACATACAATTGTAATGCTTTATTTATGAGCAGTGCACAATCAACAATGTAAAACAAAACAAAACAGATTCTTCTCAATTATTCATTCAAATATGACAGACTTATAACACATTGATAGGACATTCAGATGGAAGATTGAAGGAAAAACACACAAAAAAGACAGGTTTTACATCAGATGTTTAAATTTACGATATAAAACAATGTTGATAAAAAACCTCCTGATCTGAGGTCTAAACTCCTGACCAAAATTTCCCTATCTTCTGATCTGAGTTTCACAGTCCATCACATGTACGTATACATGTACACATGTACCAGATATAACTAGTTATCCTGTTACTCATGAGTGAGAAATTCACATGACAAAACAACTAAACTTTTATTTTCAAAGCAGTTGTTGAACCATGAAAATAAGGTCAAGGACAACTGACATAAATGTATGGCAGACAGAAATTTTTGTAACATAAGTCATAGATGTATATAAATTATGAAGCTACCAGGTCTTCTTCCCTCTGAAATATATATTTAAGCTTTATACAAATAGTTTACACCGCCACCACTGGATTGTTATCCCTATGTCTTGCATTCTTTCTTCAAGGTGAGACAAATATTACATGTACTCATCTGAAAGTGAACAGCTGGTAAACGAAAACTAACAACACTTACAATCGGGTAAACTACGACCAGTTCCATATGAGTAGTTGACAAGATCCAAATAGCAGGAGATTCTAGCTCTCACATGTAAATTAATTGGGCACAGAGCAGGATACTCTGGAAATTTGGGGAAAATATCAGGAGACTCCCACCAAGATCATGAGAGTTGACATCTATGACAATAGTAGTTTAAAAGGAAAATCATGCTCTTCTTTTATATTTGGCACTGAAAAATCATGTCGAATAAAATGGATTAAAGCTCAAGTTAGATGTTGCATCATATCTTTATGGTATAATGACTGTTCAGATGAGGGAAGTGTAGCAGTTCAACCCAGGACTTGAATTAGTGAGAGCAGGGCCCTAACTAGCCTCTATTTAACATATTTGTTTAGGGGCCAGCTGAAGGACGCCTCCGGGTGCGGGAGTTTCTCGCTGCATTAAAGACCCATTGGTGGCCTTCATCTGTTGTCTGCTCTATGGTCGGGTTGTTGTCTCTTCGACACATTCCCCATTTCCATTCTCAATTTTATCTGTTAAAAGTGAGGCCAAATTATTAAAAAAATCTGGCAAGGGGTCTGGGGGCCTTGAACGGCCCCCAGAAGCTCTGGAAAAAAATGACACAAAATCGTGCATTCTGTTTCTTAATCTGAAACGCAAGTTATTTTTTTGACAATATTCTGGTCTCAAGCAAAATATATAGATACATTCAGTGTAAGACTTTTAGTTTTTAGGGACAACATCAAAAGACCGATATGTAGGATAAAGCAAAAATCGTAATTCACATAGTTAAGTGCATGGCTGCTGTTTTTTTTTTTTGCTTGTAGGAAAAACATATTTTACCTGCCAATTATGTTTTTTTTTCAAATTAAGTTAAGAAGGGGCTGATTATCATTGATTTAACTATGTGAACTCAGTTTTTATAACACATTTCAATTACAAATTGATGTAATTCCTAACTGGGATAGAAAGGGTACACTCTGATAATGGTAGACTCAGGAAAACTGTTCTTTAGACCTCATTGCTAAATTTTTGTGCTGTTTTAATTTGTATACTGGGTGATTAATGTCGGATATGCCTGTTCTGGTCTTGTATTGTGTTTAGACTTTGGTGTAATTTTTTTCTGACTTTGAAATTTATTCACAGCTACTCTACTGCTTAAGTCCACGCTAGGGGTCATCTTGACATTGTTGTAAGGTATGAATGATTCGTTCATTGTTGAAGACTCTCCAGCGACTGTCAAGATGAAGAACAGGAATAAAAGCCCTGTCCATTGATAATTTGTATTTTTTTCCATGCACATTTACTCCATATCCCTTTATTTTCTATTAAAGGGCCTGAACACGGCTTAATGCAAGTTTACGCCCTTCAATGTAAAAGGTCATATGGCAATACATTATTTTTCTTTTTAAATGCTTTGATTCCGGGAGATTGGTTGTCTCACTTTGATTTAACCAATGTCATCTTTTTAGTTTAACAGAAAAGAGAGCCAGTTTTGTATTCTTTAATATAAAGTATAATTTTACATGAAAAAACTACCAATCCATGACCGATATTCTAAAGATTTATTGTAAAATAACTGGTTTCTGACACCTTATGTCAAGCATGGTAGATTTCCAAATAGTGATTAGGTCTATACTCCCTGACTGACCTGAGTAAACAGATTACATATATACACAGTGTAGATACTATTCTGTACGCTATCCCGAAGTCGCGATTTTCGAAGCGAGAACTTTTTGGATCACATTTTAAATTTGATGGATATACTGAATTAAACGGTAAGTTGATCATCTGTACATTGCTTAATGATTAATTCAGCTGACATTGATATTCTCAAATGGTTTAGAATTAAATTCAGCACATTCATTATTCGTATCTTTGCCTTAATCAAGAGATTTTCAAGTGCATCGCTAAGGAAAATCAGTCGGTGAACCTAAAAACAATCTTTTTACCCTCTTAGTGTACAAATTAACATAAAAACCAGACGTAATTAACTAAATGAAGTATATTTCAAGTGGTGGTAAAAGTTTCAACCAGATCTTTGAAGCCAGAAATAAGAAAATTACACTTGTTTGAATTTCTCACTGTACGATCAGTCTCGCTTGTATATTTTGAAACTGTATGATCAGTCTTTATTTCACTGTATTCTAGTGGTGATTTCAAAGTTATTTACAATACATTAGAAGGTGGCATTTTTCTAAATAACAGAAATATATTTCAATAAATTCACATCCTGAAAACTTATGAAACATGTTTTAGCTTGATGGGGTGTACTCGACTTACTACATTAAGTATAAGGATGTTTAAATGTTGCTAAAATAAGAGGAAGGTTTGTTGTATATATAAGTTTCAGAAATGTCCTCCGTTATACTTAAAATTGTACAAACACACAGATTTAATTGTTATATAAAAATGCATGTATTTACACACATTCGAGGCCATACTGTAGCCTATAATTGATCACAGTTCCTTCACTTTGTTTTGGATGTAGAGTTGTCTCTTTGACACTCAATTGTACACCACTTTGTAAAGCGGGTGTTTATAGTGATAATGAAGTCCGTCTTTCCGTTGGACCGGTACAATATCTTTCGTCGGTTTTGTAAGTGCATCTCCTCATAAACCACTTAATATACATTGTGGGTTCCAGCCATTTTTAAATGGAGAGGGGGTCCAATCCAGGAGAAAAGGGATTCCAAATATATGTTCCCATACAAATGCCGTCTACAAAAATCATCAGAAATATATTTGTATTGCCTGATGAAAGAAATTACACGTTATAGTTCCCTGGACAGTACATAATATCACAGACACGTATATACCTTCAAATTGCCATTGTTTCTTTTTCAAAATCACGACTGGTCATACAGTCAAAAAATCTGAAATCGCTTCTAGAATACAGTCAGTTCTAGACTGATCGTACAGTAATTTATTTTGGGATCCTCAAGGAAAACATATTTTTTTATGGGAAATACGAATATTCTACTTAAATACGAAAAGAATATTGAAACAGTATATATTTAACTGTAAACTGATGCAAATATTTGCATTAAAAGATTATTTGCTTTGTACTACGAGACCAAAATTGTCCATCGATTTCACTTTTTTCTATCAAGTTGGTGTGATGCACACGTATATTTTATATTCTTATGCATGTTTTTGTTACAGTTACTCATATTTATGATGCTATACATACCTTGAAGATGTTCAAAGCACTTTATAGATATAGGAGTAAACAAATGATGAGAAAAGTCACCGTAGGCAAAACTGTCCTGTTAGCCAGTTGGAAATCATCGCTTCGAAAATCGCGACTTCCAGATAGCGTACAGAATAGTATCTACACTGTGATATATGCATGTACATATGGAAACACAGCTCAGTAATGATAACTTGTCGAATATTTTAATTCATTTTTCCACATTTTTCTGTCAGCTTTTCGAAAAGGATACGGATGCCTAACCGCTTTATTAAAAATAATTGAAGATTGGAAAAAGGCTTTAGATCAGAATAAATATGTAGCAGCTATATTAATGGACTTGTCCAAGGCTTTTGACTGCCTACCCCATGACCTCCTCCTACTAAAATTAAAATCCTACGGTGTTTCCGCTTCTTCTCTTAAACTTTTGGAAAGCTATTTAACTAATAGAAAACAGTGTGTTAAAGTAGGTACTAATTCAAGCTACTGGCAAACAATGTTTAAAGTGTGCCACAAGGGTCGATATAAGGGCCAACACTATTTAATATCTTTTTAAATGACATTTTCTATTTTATTCATAAAAGCGAACTCTATAATTATGCAGATGACAACACCCTTTCATACGCAGATAAAGATTTAGATAAATTAATTAATACTCTAAAAGATGAAAGTAAAATTTTGATAAATTGGTTCTCAATAAATAAAATGAAAGCTAATCCAGAAAAATTTCAAGCAATAGCTCTAAGTAAAAAAACTAAAGACAAAAACCTAAAATTTAAATTAGAAGGTAATAAAATAGAATGTGAAGATAACATTGAACTTCTAGGCGTAACAATAGATTTTAAACTAAATTTCAATGAACATGTCTCTATAATATGTAAAAAAGCATCCAAACAGCTAAATGTATTAAAAAGAATAGGAAAACACCTGACTAAACTCGGTAAATTAACAATTTATCATTCTTTCATAATGTCCAACTTTAATTACTGCCCACTAGTTTGGCACTTTTGTGGGGAGGTTAATACAAAAAAGATAGAGAAAATTCAAGAGAGAGCACTAAGGTTTATCTATGAAGACTATTCAGCAAGTTATGAAGATCTACTCTGCAAATCAAAATTACCATCTTTAAAAATAAGAAGAATGCGATCATTGGCTATTGAAGTTTTCAAAATTATTAATAAAGATTGTCCTTTTTATCTCCATGATTTAATACACTTAAAGGAAAACACTTACTCTTTCAGATACCAGAATACAGCCGACCTACCCAGTACTGCCAAGTTTTCATGAAGCAAATGCGTGAGATTTGGCCAAAATTGTAAAAATCAAAGAGAAAAAACAATAAATCAAAGGGAAATGCCGCCAAATATGCATGCAAATGCGTGAGTTGTCAGCCCTGCCTACCACATGTAAGAACAACTGCATACGGCCTACAATCTTTAAGGTATGCAGGTGCTAAGCTTTGGAATGAGCTGCCAGATGAGCTACGTAAGCAATCATCTTTAAATCAATTCAAGAACTTGATAAATTCTTGGTCTGGCAGCTCATGCCAATGTTTTGCCTGCAAAACCAGTTAATTTCTGTTCATTATTTTTGGTTTAATTATAATGCTTTATTTTCAGCATGGCAATTTTATTTTGTTATCTTTACTATATTGCTTCTGCTGCTTTGTGCTAATTTTAGTAACTAACTAATCTATATGTGCTTTTAATGTGCAAACCATTTTACTTTTGCTTTTGTGTTTTTATCTCACAAGTGCATGTTTCAGTGTAAGATGCTTTTAAGAACTTTTGTGCTTCATGTTTATATACTGATATGAACTCTTGCTTTATATGTTTAATCTATGTGTGCATGACTTGATATGTATGTTTTGTTTTATTTGTTGCTCTGTCGGTTTTAAAAGCTTTTCAGAGCTTATGTTTGTACTTGTATTGTATATACCGACTCTAAATAAAGCTTTATGTCTTATGATACCTATATACAGATATACTGTCATTACTGATACATCATACAGTAATAAAATTCCTTGCAGTCTTTTGTGCAATAAACCAATATCAAATAACAATGCACATCTTCTTTGAAGACAGATCTTTCAATGCTGTACTCTGTCAAGTTTATGTGTTATATCATACTTTTTAAGTTTTAGGAAACCCGTAATTTCAACATAAACTTGATGCCATTCCAGCAAATTTCGAAATTTATACTTCAACATGTGCTTTAAATCCATTACCAGTGAGTTCTTTGTGGTATTTCCCTAGAAAAGATATTGTTTATGGAAGTAAATATCATAATAAACATACGTGGTCAGTAAAGGTGTCAAGGATAAATCATTTTGGCCACATAAAAGGTCCTTCCAATTTAGCAGACTTCGGCATCCATTTTACCCTTGTTTACCTTGCCAGCAAGTCATGTGACCGCTTTCACTTTTCTTTTTGATGAGGCGGGTATTTCAAATGTAATATGATAATAAAATTAATAATAATTACTTTATTTAAAGAGGGTAAAATCAGTTTGTACAATACTAAACTCCCCTGATGCCCTCTGAATAACTCAAAATATAATAATATAATATACATATACATACATACATCACAAATTCTAATAAATTACCAAATGAATAAAATTTGGGAACATTGTAAACCTTTAATTACGTTGTTTTTAAAAAATCATACACATAGATTTCTTGACATTGTTCAGTTTGTTCTGGGGACTACATAATATCCCGTCTAACTGCACGGTTTGTGATATCGATGTATGAGTTATTCTAGCAATTATATATGTACAGCAGCCGATATAAGTCGAGAGTCACGGTAATCATGAACATATATATTACTGTTCCCAGCGGTAATAAAGTGGATGACATCGTTTCATAAGATATGCCCCTACAAAAGTTGAACGGTCAGTATTTCAAGTTACTGCATGTTAGTGATGTTTACAAAACAGTTGAAAGGTTAAACCTGAAAGAAAAAGCACCAAATGAAGCCGGAATATCATCTGAACATCCATGATAATAGTATATATATATAAATGAACTAATTCCTTATAGCTTTCAGGTACTTGGGCCAAACAGAGAAAAAATGTCACGCTTTTCTGGAAATAATAAAAACTGAAAATATGCAGGGCCGTACCTGACATAATATTTGGCACAGAAACTTGGCTAAACCCAAAAATAAAAGATGTCGAAATATTTCCTGACAATTTCAAATTGTACAGAAATGACAGAAAGAAGACAGAAACAGACAAAGAAGGGGGTGGTGTTCTTATAGCTATAAAGAATTAAACCATTGTGGTGACGTCAGCCTATTCATTTACCGTGGATTCTTTTTCTAGAATCAACGCTTCCTAAATCTGCCGCTGAATCACTAATTTCATTAAGTTTGAATTGGCTAATTTACTGATTTCTGTTCACTTATGGAATTAATTTAAAAACTTACCTTTAATTTTTGTAATTTTTATATGCCTTCACTGGGAATCGAACCCTTCCTTGAAATCTGTTATGTGTGACTGACATCAACACATCGACGAAACCTCTCGGCTACCAATGGGTTACACTATAGATGTCTATTTTATATATTTAAATGAACATCTGATATACATCGGCTCATCGGACACACAGGGCTTGTACCTTTATATAGACAAAATAGGCAGTCGTATAGTAGGAGTTGGTAGCCGCGAGGTTAGCATGGTTAAAATCAATGAGTTAAATCAGAGACATATATACATATATATGTCTCTGGTTAAATATAGGGATTTGTCGGTTTAGGTTCGAATCCCTGTATTCTCTCTGTTGTTCCAATTCTTAGGGGATGACCATTTGATATTCTGGGGGGGGGGGGGGGGGGGGGGGGGGGGCAGGAGGATTTTTTTTGGATCGGTTATTTATTTTTGTAAACTAAGAGGACAGATTATTTATTTTCTGCACTGTTGAAGCAAGATTTTTCATTTTCATTAAAACAAGGGACTGATTATTTGTTTTCATAACTATATTAATAATATTTGAAGACATACAATTTTTAAATTCATTTTTTATTATAAATAATACATGTACAGTCAAGTCATTAATGTACCATTTAATCAGAATTACTCATCATCCTCTGCGGAAATGAATCTTCTGAATTCCAAACTGCATATACATGTATTGCATACATACACGGTATTAGAGTTGGGGCTGTGACTAGCCTCTTTTAATAGTATTGTCAAATATATTTACGCCGAGCGGAGCGAGGCAAAACAATTTTGAAGGGTTTTGAAGCCGCTGAAGGCCCAAAGAAACTATAGAACAAATGATGCAAAATCGTGCTTTCTGGGCGTTCCCAGACCCTTTCTTATTCTGAAAACGCAAGTTCTGTTTTAATAATTTTTTGACAATATTTTGGTCTCAAAGCAAAATGTATAGATTCAGCGTAAGACTTAAGTTTTTATGGACAACATCAAAAGACCAATATGAAGAATAAAGTAAAAATGTAATTCACATAGTTAAGTATATGTTGAAAACAAAATTACTAAATCACAAAAGGAATGCAACACTAAGAGAATACAGAAGGGCAATCAATGAACAAAAGACAAATTTAAAGAAACATTGATCCCGAAAAAACAGGTGCTAAGTCCAAGGGAGAACAGAACTTGCTTCTTGCAAACACTCGCTGTGAAAACAATTTGATATGAAGACAAGCTATTGGTTTTAAAATTTCCTACATAAAGGCATTTGCCTCAATGTAGTTACAGCCCTGTAATAAAAGTGAGGTAAGTGAAAATTAAAATGTTCCTGAGCCAATATACCTCAAGTTAAATGAAACCCATTTTCAGACATTTCAAGTATATTTGAATAATATTTATACATTTATTATTAAAAGATTTGGGAAGTGATTCCTGAAATTTTTTTTTGAAAAAAAGATGAATTTTATGAAGAATCTGGTGCCACCTCATACTTTCGAATAGCATTTATAAAATGGCTTAAAGACCTGCCGAGTTATTCATTTTCAATACATTGTAAGTCAGGTTATTTATTTTCGAACTACCACACAACAAACCATTTATTTTTGTGATTATCAAGGCTGAGTTATTTATTTTCAAAATCCTCCTAGCCCCCCCCCCCCCCCCCCCCCCCCCACCACCACCATATCAAATGGTCGTCCCCTTAAGTTATACTGTTTTTTTTTCTAAATTTGCATGTTATAGTGGATATTTTTGTAATAATACCGAGTTTTACCGGTTTTTTTTTATTATTGGCTATTTCACATGTTTGAAACAAAAATGATTACATTCTATTTGTAAATTTTTGTTTTATAAATATAGTATGATTTCATCTGTTTTACTACATAATTTTACAAAGGTTTGTTCGCAAATTCCTATGCGAGAAAATCGTGATGTGCCTAGAGTGCTAGAAAAATTTCGATATCATACGTATTATATATACTTTATATATGCTTTTTGGTCGGGTTGTTGTCTCTTTGACACGTTCCCCATTTCCATTTTCAATTTTATTAGAAATAATTTCGAATATGTCTTATCATTTGTATAAACAGATAATATTCATATGCCTGGTAATATAAATATCTTTAAAGGTAGAAGTGTTATATTTGTATTTTGTTAACCAACTAATTGTGATCTGAGATTTATCAATGCATCGTTGGACACGATAACATGGTTATTCAAACTCACTTATAATACCTTCTAATTAAGAAAAGGCTTTAATTTTGAAAAGAAATTAACACAATAGTTTAAATTATAGATACAATGGATAAGCGTAGATTCATGAAAAACAAACCATTCGCCCTCCAGGCTCATGGTTTCTTTTTCAAGAATCCACGCTTATCCATTGTATCTATATAACAGAACTTATTAGCTCTGAGGTATATGAACTTGCACCCCCGCACAAAACAGAAATGGTCTGGGCAAAAGTAGACATTGTTGGTTCGAAAACATTGTACTTAAGCTCTTTCTACAATCCAAAAACATCTGACGAAACTAGTCTCAAAAACTTTGACTTAATGATAAGAAAAGCCACACAAATAAAAAATTCCACGCTTATTATAGGGGGAGACTTTAATCTCCCTGGTTGGGATTGGAACAACAGATCACTAAAACCAAACACTAATTACCCACACCTTCATTACTTCTTTGGCAACTCACTTGACTCACCCAAATTGTTGATGTCTATATATATATCTTTATTCTCAATAAACCATATACATAGGTATAGAGAAGACATTTATGTACAGTATTTACAATAAGACAGAACAAACAAGACAATTGATAAGACAATGTATGAAATAAATTTTAGCCAGGAGCACATATACCTGTGTTGATAATCTTTATAAATTTACAAAGTTTAATCAGTTTTGATTTGTGTTTTGAAGACATAATCTGCTTGTATTTTACAATATTTGCATTTTTAAAATAATAATGTGACATACAATGTTTCCTGTTTTCTTCAAAGTATTTACATTCTAATATGTAATGAAATTCATCACCAATGTCATTTTTATTACATAGAAGACACAGTCTATTATTTCTAACTATATTGTTCCATCTACCCTGTTCAATAGGGAGCTTGTGATTTGTGGTCCTAAATCTACACAAATCAATAGATAGTTTGTTCTCAAGAATTTCAAAATAATCTTCTTTTCCAAAAAAATCTTTAAAAAGTTTATAATTAAGTGCTTTTGGTGAGTTTTCAAGCAGAGAATGCCAGCCTTGTACAAACTGATCTTTAAGTCTGAGCTTGATGAATGAAACTAACCATATGCAATTTATAAATGATTGTGTTTCCCATACATTTGGGATACCACATTCATTTAAAATAGTCTTTACTCTGTTTAACCATGAAAAATTCACGTTGTCATTAATAGACATGTGATAACACAATTTATATAAAGTATATGATAGTTTCTTCACTTTACCAGAATTTAATTTCCCCCAAAATGAGATCAATCTAGTTTTTATGTCCAAGTCTATAGGATATTTTCCAAGCTCCCCATAAATCATGTAAGAGGGTGTTGATGTTTTCAGACCTAATAATAATTTACAAAATTTCAGTTGTACCCTTTCAATTATGTCATTATTTCCAATACCCCATACTTCACAACCGTACAGTAATATTGGTTTCACCATTTTATCAAATAAGTCCAACTGACTACATATAGAAAGATTATGAAGACGACCTAGTCTTAACACTTCGTAAAGAGCCTTAGTGGCCTTTTCTACGTTAAATTGTTTTGTTTTATTAAAATTGCCTGTTCTTGTTAGAATAATGCCCAAGTAGTTAAATTCATCAACGATATCCAGTTTTTTTTCATTAAAGAAAAATTGAAAATTACATGATGGTCGTCTCCTTGAAAAAACTACGACCTTTGTTTTATCAACATTTACTTTTAGCCTCCATACATCTGTGTAATCTA